ATTCAGAAATTTTTAACAAATGAGCTGTCAAAGATATAACGTTCAAGTACAAAGTCTGTCACATCCCTCTCTCTTTTTTTCCTCTTTTTATTTACCCTTCTTATCTTATTGTACTGTTTATTGTTACTCTTATTTGCTCTGTATATTTACTGTACAAACTGAACTGGAATGACTGTTCGCTTTATAATTTCAATAAAGTTGGGAAAAAACAAAAAAACAAACCTTAACAGCACCACCTAGTGGACTGAAGAAGCAAATCTTTTTTTATCCTGGTAGCCTTCGAAAAAGTTTAGTTTTCTCCAATTTTATTTATTCAGTACCATTTTAACTGTAACTTCCACTTGCATCTGCTGCTTATATAATCTGATGTTGATGTCTCTGACATCCAGAGAGTTGGTGTGCAAAAGCAAATGGCTGGTGGGGCTCAAGTGCCTGTTGGCTGTGGGCATTCAAAGCTATTTCACACACGGCACTGAAAACGTTTGTCCATGCTCACTGTGGGTCTCATTTCTTTAGCAGTTCATCGAGCTGCATCTGAAAGTGAAGAGCACATCCTAGTGTGGATCTGGGTGCCTCCATCCTCTCAGACTGGCTGCATCATCAGTTGTCTTGCAGTTGTGCTTCCAAAGCTGGTGCACAGGTGTCTGCTGCAGAGATGATGAAAACACTTCTCTTCTGTGTTAGTGGCAGATGGTGGCTGTGTTGGCTCCTGCAGGTCATGGAAGTGACAACGTTTTGTAGTAGTATTGATTGTATACCCTGATGTAGACATACAAATGTGGTGGTGATAAGTCTTTTAAACCCTGTTTTGATAAATGTTGTGTTTTTTGTGCGTCCCCTGCCTTTGCAGCTCACTCCACTCTACAGTTTGGGTTAGCTCTAAAACATTTGCTTTTGCTGCCCCACATACCCAGACTGCCTCAGAGCTGTTACAAGGTATGCTGTTGCTTTGGTGTTTGTTTCCCTTCTTAGAGTTTCAACCATATTTGCTATGTAGTTGTCAGTTATTGTGTCTGTGTGGAGACAGATAGTTTACTGGAGACAAATCGATTAGTGTTCATCAGAGGAATTTCCTAGGAAAAGAGCTCACAGAGAAACTGGATCTTGTTTATAATATCAAATGCACAAGCCAGATTAGTCGGATTGCTGTGTTTGATTGACTGCACAAAGAGAATATTTCGAAATAAAGACACATTTGAACAGGAAGACTGAAGCTGCAGGCACAGTGCAGTTGGATGTTTTCCTTCCTCTTCAGCCCCAGATGTCCGTTGCAGAGGAGAGCTTTACATCGCTCTTATCTCTGAGTCATTAACTGATAAAAACTCCATGTAGCAGTGAGTGCACATAACATTGCTGTGCCACAAAAACACAGGCAACTACAATGCTCCTATTGACGAGGAAGTCTGCTCTCAAAATTCTCTGTAAGTGCTGGGCCCGATTCAAAGCCACTGTATTAATATGGAAAGTGTTGACTCTCCTCTCCTCTCGCCTGTTCCAGTGAAAACCATTTCCCACAATATACAATATGTACAGTATATTGGATGTCGTGCTTAAATGTTGTTTGCAGTGAGCCTGAGCAGGTACTTTGAAATTTAAATTTATCATCTAAATGGTTTAGCTTCTGTGGTAATGCTTACACACCTGCATGCAGGGTGCCTGTGCAGAGTGAGTCATTGGTAAAACAGTTCTACTTTTTACAGAAACAAGTACATGTAGTTCGTTCAGGCTACGTAACCTGCGGCTAAGTTTTCCTGTTATATAAATAGTAGGCTGTCTCTCGTGGAGGTGCAGTTTTCAGCAGTTACAGCAAACCTGCAAGCTGCTGCAGAAAGCGATGCAAAATGATCCTGCAACATGTCAGAGACGCCCTTCATGCGTCAGTACTGGGGCCGTGTGGCTGCTCACGTGTGCTTCCACATTTTTACTGCTGCAGCTAATTGTTAATAAGTTGTTATTTGTTACTTTACAGATATTTATAGCTGGGACTAAAATGTATCATTTTGTAATTAAAAGTCAGAGTTTAGAGATTGAAAACACTGCATCTCTGAAACATCGCTTCAGTGTTTCAGAGATGGACATAGACCTAGACCTTGAGTTTTTATTTTTTAAATGGCTGTGCTTCATGCATCATGTATGGAGCCTGCACCTGCACCACACTTGGATGTTTTATCAAACCAGACCTGGCTTTCTTTTCTTGTCTTAAAGGAGTTCTTACATGTGTCTTCATACTACACTCTACATCACACATATTGGTCAAGATGGTAAGTAAAACAAAATGTACCTGTTAGGGTGATTGATCACATTTACTTGCTAATGCTATCTCTGTTTCCACAAATGTGCAGCGATCTCAGAGCAGTGAAAGCAGAGCCAATGGCAGTTTATGTAGCATGCTAGTCTTACGTCATGTTCCTATCAAACACCAGACGTGTGCCCACAATGCAAAAAGGTGCTAACCTCTCAGCTTGAGAACATCAAGTAATTGCTGACGGCACAGTTGGAATGCTAGCCCGGTACAGCTTTCAGGGCAGTCAGAAGCAAGCAGAGCCTGCTTCCACAGACGCTGATCAGCTGCAGTGAGAAGATGTAGTAATTTAAAGGTTGTTTGCAAGCAGGTAATGAGAGAAAGTTTACCACAGAATGAGATAGCAAGCACTGCTTTCCTTGCTTGCCCTGACAGAACACCACTGGTTTAATATATAAAATGTAGAAAAGAAGAAGTGAATTATTTATGTCTCACTATGATGAGACGAAACCAAACGTTTTAAATTTTGGGGGGGTTTCGGCTTTAAAGGGAATTATTGTTGTTCTTGTTGTGTCATTATGTACTGTACAATGGTTGCTGTGAAAGCCCCACCCATCTGCTATTCAAACTATAATTTACCTGGCTTTTAGCACTGGTGAGCAGTGCTTACTCCTTTAAGCATTGACAGTCCTACAAAAACAATTTAAATCCTTCGACTGTTTTTACTAATAGACTGTTGTAACCATACATGCTTTTCAACAGGACACAGATAGGTTCAGCTGGTAACTAAAGAAGTGACCTTCCTTTCATATCAAAAATCCTTGAAAGAGTAGTTGTCTTTCAATTACAGCATAACTAAGGGAGGATTCAGGGTCACCTGGTCCAGCCCTAACTATATGCTTTAGCAAAAAGGAAAGTTTGAAGCCTAACCTTGAAAGTAGAGATAGTGTCTGTCTCCTGAATCCAAACTGGAAGCTGGTTCCACAGAAGAGGGGCCTGAAAACTGAAGGCTCTGCCTCCCATTCTACTTTTAAATACTCTAGGAACAACAAGTAGGCCTGCAGTGTGAGAGCGAGGCTGCATCAAGGTCTCCAATTGTCTTTTAATGAAACAGGTGGAAAAGTTGTAAAAGTAACAAGTTTCAGTCAAAACTGAGCTGAATCTAATGGAAAACTAAAACACTGTCAGTACAATGCAAATTTGAAATCCTCAAGCAATGAGAAAAGCTTTACATATTTGAAATGTTGCTTTAACCTCCCAAGACCTGAACTCTTCCACAGCAGCATTTTTAATTTCTCTTTGATATTTGGTCACATTGGGGCCCGATGAATGTAAAAACAAAGAATTACCAGATTTTTTTTCCTTATTTTTGTTTTTAAGAAAAATAAGAGCCACATATGAGGATATTCGTTTAAAATTTCGATAGAACAGTAGCAGTATAACGTCCTCGTAAGTGGATATCAGGCCCTTGTAGAGCAAAATTCAGTATTTTGGTCTAAATAACCCAAAATGTGATGTCCACATATGTGGACGGCAGGTCCTAGGAGGTTAATGTCGGGCACTTTGTGCCGTGCAGAACAGTGGACAGTGTGCGTTTGCTTAGTGTGGCTAACGTTGGTATTATTGTGTGCAGAATGTGGTTCCAGTCACGTGGTTATTTACCAGAACACTCAGCTGAAGTACTGCAGGACCACACTGGTTAGCGGGCTTGTCACAAGTCTACACGGGGGGGCTGCAATGATTAGAAAGTGATAGATGTAAGCATTTAAATGGATCTGTACAACGTATAAGCAGAGTCTTTTGTTAGACCAACAAAGACTTTTTCGAAGCTGCTCCTCTTGAAAACACTTGTATAAGCTGGCTTTATTATAACGTTGTGGTCAGGTGTTCTTTACCTGTGAACAGAGACCGGCTCTACCACACAACAGGCTAAAGCAGCATCATCGTTTTTGTTGGATAATACTGGAGCTTTAAGGGCAGCCCAGCACTGTGGCACCAAGTACAGCTGCTGTCACCACATAAAGTCACACTGTGTGTAAGACCTGTGCATCCAGAAACCTTTATTGTGTCAGATATTAAACGTTGCAGGGATCACAGTGAACACTCAGACGCAGCGCTGGTGTCTCTAAGTGTCCACCTGAGGACTGCATGCAAATCCAAGCTGGCAGAAGTTGAGCCACTTTAATGTTTAGCTAGTTTATCTGACTGCTGTCTGTGTGATTATGAAGTCATGCACATCAAATGTAACCAGGTTTATCCTGTAAACATCACACAGTATGGGCAAATTTTCATTGACAAGTAATGAACTGCCAGCGTCCCAATCAGCAGACACAGAAAGTTTAGCAGAGCAGAGAAGGTATCCTTCTCTTTTTAAAAACCAGGTCTAGACCACTCAGGGTTTTATACAAACACAGTGAAGGCTTCACACAAAAAGGTGCCATTATTTTTCAGTTATTTGTCTCAGGGAGCCCCAACCATTTATCAGCAGGTGGACATCGCAGGATTGCATCACACACCTGCAGCTAGAAATGAAGAGCAGCAAAAAGAAAATATGGAAACAACGTATCCTCTGGAACTGTGCTGATGACAAATGGCTGAGGGGAGGAGCGACTGAGCTGCTTTACAGCCTCTCTCACTCCCATGCTCCTGATGCTTCCTGCCCCTAATCTTGACTGCAGATGCAAATAGTCTAAAAAACGTCCCCACCAAACATTTGCATTTAAACAAATAGATAAAGGTCATTTTGAAAAGCTGCCTCCTGATGGTTGCAGTGTGAGGTGGCATGTTCCATGTGTCCCTGCCCTCCTCACAGCCTGATTAAAGCTCCTATTGCAGCACGCCACTCAGTATGGTGCTGCACTCCTGGATCTAGCTACTACAGGCAAATACAGTAGGGGGAGAACAGAAAGGCCTCTGTGTGTGTGCGCATCAACAGCATCATGGACACAGGTAAGTGTGCTATTATTATGCTGTTTTATACATAATGGAAATATTGAAAAATGTCTGGTTTTACTTTTACAGTGTATGTCGGGTTTTTTAATGGTTTGTCTGGTTTTATGTGAGATTGTGACGGAGGCTTTTATTTGAGTGGGAAAAGTTTCTTCAAAAAGTTTCCTGCGCTGATATTGATGAAGCTGCTCGTGTGTGACACGTATCAATGAGGACTAAATGTCTAGTTTTAAGAAAACTCTACAGATGTGGACACGAGGAGGTCATTTCTGAACGTTTTAAGGTCATTTCTAAAAGGAAAAAACAACCTCCTCCAAAGAAGAGTTGATATTTTCAAGAATCTCACGTTTGTGCAAAGTTGGGCCTTATCTAAAGGATCCATTCAAAAAGCTGGGGTCTTTTACATAAAGATTTTTGCATGCAATTTCCGTTTGCATAGTAAAGTTTGCATTTTCATTGAGTTTCTACCTCTGCTTCCCAGGAATGTGACCAAATCACACCAACACACACGTGAGATTTGTAGAGGACTATTTAATATATGACATGATGTGCCGCCATGATGCTCGCTGGCATCGCCTGCCTATTCAGTCGTGGCGCTTCTTTGCAGTGTAGTCGTTCCTCAGTACCACCTAAGCCCTCTGGAGTGTTTGCTTATGGTGAGGTTTTGGCAAGAGTTTGTAGTTAATTGCCTCTTTTTAGAAGTCCATTTGCATTGACCAAACCAAAGGCAATTTCCATGACATTTACACACCAATCCCATAGAGTCATTCGCCTATATGCATAAAACTGTGAAGCATTCAAATGACCACACATTTGTGGGAATGGATGAAAATTTGTATGACGTTGTGTTACAAGTTGAGCTGCATCACTCATGTCTGTGCTCCGTCTGTCTGCAGAATATTCTAAGAGAGTGTACCAGGGCGTCCGAGTGAAGCACACGGTCAAAGACCTGCTGGCAGAGAAGAGGTCCCGGCAGACAAACGGACCCAGATACAGCGTGAGCACCACGTCTTCTAAACCGCCTGTCTCTCCTGCTTTACTTTCCTCTATCAAGCCAAACGGCACAGCTGACCTTCTCTTAGCGACTGGGAGGTTTTCTAAAAACAAAAAAACTCCTCTTGTTTACATTGAGGCTCGTTTTTGTGCGCTAACGATCCACGGTGGATCCTTTGACCACCTGTACCTCGCTTGCAAAGCCATTCTGTAAATAGCCGAGCACTGTGCGTGTAGAAAGAGACACGAAGCACAAAAACTCATCCTAACCTCACAAAGGAGCGCTAATACAATGCCTGCAATGCTGTAGGCCATGATCTCCCAAAAAAATCCACAAAAAGGTGGAGGCAGGGTGGGGGGATTTGAGGTGGACAGGTAGCACAGAGAAACAGAAGAAAGGGCCCGTGCAGGAGACTGCCTATGCAAAGTTTGATCCGTGCACACCTGCCAGCCGATATTGTCCTGCGCCGTGATCAGGCCACAGACAAACCTCCTATTGTTGTCTCAGACACACACTTTCTCACACACATGCACACAGAGAAATCAGGCTGTGCTTCTGTGCTTTAGACGCCTGCTCGCACACGCAAGACTGCCTTTTTATTTTCCACAAACCGCCTGTCAAAAGGCTTTTACAGGACACTGTTTGTTTTCTGTGCTGGCACGTCCACGCCATACACTCGCTGATGGCTCAAGCAATGGAGGAATTATGTCAGACAACATTGGAAGATGCCAGCAGACGTTTCCTCTATCTGCTGCAGTGCGGTGCTCATTATAACATTTTTGGCACAGGTGTACTTTTGTGTGTGGGTGGGGGTGGGGTAAATTCCTAGCACGTAGGCTGACATTATCACAGACAGAAATTCACTCTGTCGCTGGTTCTTAAACTCTTTGTGTGGAGGCAGAGCTGCCATAAAAGATTAAAAGTTTAGCTTCATTTGATGCTGAAGGACAGGCCGTTAACAACAACAAGAAACTAACAGAACTATTTAGTCTTAATCAGAGCCGAGATGCTGTTTAGATTGTGTTGCAGACGTCCTGTGACAGCAGAAGAAGGCGAGGAATAGTCTGGATTTTATTTAACGTCAACTCATTTTCAATCAAAACTGAAAATGGGAACAAAGTAATCAAAACAAATCAAAGCTGTTATTAAAAAGTGGTGAAGAGCAGCTCTGCGAGATTGGGCATCGTCTCAGAAACAGACGACCTTAATCTAACGAGCTCCACATCCAAGCTGTGTGGCTACCGCACACAAGTGTGACAGACTGTACGCTTTTGTCAGGGCTCGGTGAATCGACGGGAGCTCCAGAAGCTATCTTCTTGCTTTTATTACTTCCCTTAAATTTGAATAACAAGCTAACACCTGTGACATCATTCCAGTTGTTTTCCAGTCCGTCAGCATTTTCGCTTTTTTGATATTCCAAACTGAATCGAGCGAAGCCTGCAGGCGACGTGAGCTGTGCACGTCACACACAGGGGCAGGGATAGCTCAGTAGGTAGAGTGGTGGCCCCATGATCGGAAGGTCGGGGGTTCGGCTCCACTGAACGGCTGCCCTGAGGTACCCCTGAGCAAGGTACCGTCCCTACACGCCGCTCCCCGGGCGCTGCGTTGGTGTTTGCCCACTGCTTCACTGGGTGAATGGGTTAAATGCAGAGGAACTATTTCCCTATGGGGACTAACACATACATGTGTAACATGGCTCGCTCTGCTCACGTCTATCAAACGCTCTTGGTTCTGGCCTCGTCTTTAAGCTCCCCCACTCTCACAGCCACTCCAGCATCCACCCGTAGGCCACATTTACTCATCACTTATATGCACAATAGCATACTTGTGATGTGATGAGTTTTATGACTTCCTTGAGAATCCCAGACTCTGATGATGATGGTAATAAATCATTTCAAACATAAGTTGTCTGATGGGAAAACGTTCAACACACCTTTGTTTCGTTTAATACAGCTGAGCAACCGTTCTTTAGATAACCAATAATCCACCAAATCTCCATACGTCGTCTCTTTAAACTAACGTTTGGCTACTTTTTGTTACAATATTTATCTGTTAGCCTTAGCCCTCCTTAGCTGTCCATGTTCGATTTAAGCATTTTTCTCATTCATTTATGAATTTTAATCCATCACTCTTGGTTAACAATTTATTCCAATAGTTGTCCATTACCTGTGGCTAACTGCCGGCTCAGGTGATAGGCCGTGGTCAGTGTGTAGTCCCTGAGAAACAGTTGTTTGGGAGCAGTTGGCCTTTAATCCCACAAACTTTATTTAACTGTGGACTCTATAGCTTATTGTTACATGTTATGTTAGCATGTACAATATACCAAAGCATGTCAAACAATAGTCTCCTGTGGAGACAACAAGGCGTGTAAAAGAATCTTAGTTGCTACCTCGGCGTTCTGTTTTCATGGTCAAATGTGGTATTATGCAATCATTGGGCCAAAAGAATACAGCATGGAGGCAGTATGACAGGCCATTGTCTGCAGGTCTACAGTCTGCTTTCAGTGTGGGCTTTACTGTGTGTTTATAAATGATGGTTGTAGAGCTAATAATGCACAGAGGCACACAGTAACTAAAGCCATTCCCGCCCTTGTGTTGGCTTGCGCTGCCTTTTACCTGGGAATAAAAGGCCATTGAAAGATAAGAGCAAACTCTGACCACAGTCTCCTCATGTTGGGACAGCCAGACAGAAACTATAAAGCTCTTACACCATTTCACATCAGCAGCTTCTCTTTTCTGACATGTTCTGTCGAGCTAGCGTGTCCAGACATGTTGCTATTACATAAATGAGCCTGGGAACAAATCAAAGTGTGACATGATGCTGAAGAGACATCGCGAGGTGTACCGGGGTGAAAGCGCTAATGCTAACAAACAACACAAACTCACTCTTTGTGTGTGTGTGTGTTGCACGAACAACATGCAGGAGATGCTACAACACAGTGCAACATGCTGGATAAAAAGAAAACAATGAGCCAGGAAGAAATATGGATCAAGTTTCTGTTTAAAGTAGGAAAATTTACACAAAACAGTTGTGCGTGTTCAATTTTAAAAATATGAAATGGGCTGTTTTAAAAATATCATTGTGTAACATATTTTGCATAGGAAGGAAGAGCTTTTCTGCGAAACAAAGCTAAATAAATCTATCGTTAGTCAACGCCACGGCACAAATACGCACACTACCTGACTGTCTGAGCTTGAGCGAGCTGATTTCCATAGGCAGCCTTCAGAGATGCACTGAGCCATACCTGGGCCACATGAGGAAGTCTTGGCACTGGCAAATCACATTCAAATTTAACCCTCAAAATTTGCGTGCGTCCCAGCCGACATGGGCTTAATATCAACTCTTTCATGTTAGCAATATGCAAACCAGAGATCCTGTCAAACCTTGTCCTCTGTGTCCCTGCACTGCAACTCTCTGACACGAATCTGTGTCTGCTTTTAGAGCAGAAACAAACTGCAGTGCTGTGTGGTCAACAACATCCAGAGGCAACTGGGTTCTCTGAGCCTCCAGTGACAAGCGTACCAAAGATGACACAGCAAACAGGGCCGCGGCATACATGGTGAACACTGGAGACCAGTGATGCAGGTCCATCAGCAGCGTGACTCCAGACTTTGAAATCCTGTCAGATAAACACTTATGTAATATTTCACATTAGTGCTCTGTGGTGAATGACCAACAGTGTGTGAGTCCTTTAATGCTACGCAGCGAGTAAGAGATCTGACTGTGTTTGCAGCTTTGTTGATTCTTACGATTCTTATTTTGCTCCCTCAAAGGTCTCGTCTATAATAAAAACTACTTTTTGGCCTAACGTTGTGCTTTGGACAAAGGTGGGAACACAAACTACACACTCTGGGTTGGGCTTACGGTTGGGGTTGTCACAAGTGTGGACTTATGGATGAAAGGGGCTGTTAGCATGTTTCATGCTGGTAATCCCACAGTTAGGTCAAACTAAAAGTAAAGGTCTGTCTGTCCAAATAATGAGTGTGACATTTGTTTGGAGTTTAAATTTGAGGACCTTTACAAAGTGCTCTGTAATATTGGTGTCATTGACTTATTTTCAAGAGTTGTCATCCATTATTTTAGGTTTGCTGGTCTTCCTGCCTCGCTGTGCTCTGCTGCTGACACTTTGTATCCGTACGAACTCAAGAGGCCGTTTCCATGTTGAAGAGCAGTTATTGACTCGGGCTTACAGTACGGGCTTAAACATTAAGCCAGTGACTGATCCCTGCAAACATGATGTCCAGCGTCTATCTCAGGCTGCATCTTACATATCACGTGGAGACGGGTTATAAATAGAAGCATTTATGTGGTTTTGGTCCAGCTGCAAATTCATACAAGGCTGATCTGAGCAATCGCCCTTAGCACCAGAGAAACTCAAGACCAAATACACATTTGTGTTGTAGGATGATGTTTCATCCTTCCTTCTTCATTCATCATCCCGTGACATGTCTGGGTTTGTTTTGTTTTTTTGTCAGCTGATATGTTTTAGGGCCAACAAACATCTGTTTAGAAACAACAACATTTGCTTCTAAGACAAAAGTGTTGTTGTAACAGTGTTAACTGCTAGACCACAGGAACCGTTTTCAACAAAGAAGACAAGTATCGGTGGAACTCCATAATTCATATATAAGTAAAACCTGGAATGTCTCTGTTTCTGCAGGGAGGATCAACCACTCCGCCATCATTCGTCCAGATGCCAGGTGAGCGTCCTCTGACCGAGTCTGCCCCCTGAGACAGAGCAGGGTGTCTAGAGTCACTGAGTAATAATGATAAAGGCATTTCTGCTTCTCCACTTCAGGTGCCCACATGCTGCCCAGCTACTATGGCATAAGAGGACGTTCCTTCATCTCTGACTCAGATTTCTGCCCATCCACCAAGCAGTTCTCCCCTGATGTCTATTCCTCCACCCTTGGGGGTAAGCCTCTAGGCTGTGAGCCCTCCACCATGAGCAGCTACTCCTCGCTCATAGACAGCTACTACCCAGAAACCTTTGGTGACTACCGCAGCGCCGCCACCTTCTCCAGCTCCGGCGGGTCCTTCCTGCCCTCGTCAGCACTGTCCTCCCTGCTGCCGCCCTTCGGAGGAGAGTCCTCGCATCTGTTTCTGGTATGAATCAGAGTGACGGTGGCACGCTGACAAAACAAAGCGCATGTTCAGAATCACCATCGTGGATTTAAAAACGGCAACACAGAAGTTCAGCGTACCTTTTTAGTTACTGTGAAACATAAACATATACTCTGCATGATGTTCACATTTTTCAAGTGTCACCCAGCTGACCGACAGCTACAAATGTTCCTGCAGAGTTCTGCGTGTACGCAGCTCTGATCATAGTCTCTGCATGCCTGGTATTTTCAGTACAAAGTTCCTGTTGTTCTTCCTTCACAGCTGAAAGAGGAAAGTTTAGAAGCTGTCTGCTTTATTTGCCAAACTCAGACCTCCGTAGTCTCATATTAGCTTCAGATCAACTTTGTCAGTTGTCAGATTTCCCATCAGCTCCACTTATGTTCAGTGTGAAAAATGTTTCTCTGTTTTGAAGAAAAATCAGTAACTTTGTTCTGACAAGCTAATCTGTTAACATGGCGAGGGACACGATGCTGCTGAGTGTAAGAAAACTCAGAGCTCGAGGATTTCAACGATACCAAGCTGCAGTGAAGAGCAGGAACACGCTGAGACAAGAGGAACCGAAAGAACCAAGTTCTATTGGTTATTTCATGCATTTGTATTTGGATTTAATTTAGTTACTTTAGTCACTAGTGAGATTACATTTTTTAAATCCAGTCCACACAGCAGGTGCGACGTTGTTAAAGAGAATGCTCTGTGATCAATAACATTAGGCTCTGTTAGTGTCTGAGCTGTGAGTCGCTTCATGCTTTCACTTTAAATAACTGTTGGCCGACTAATTTTCCATATGCAAAATTCTTTTCCTTTTATCGTTGTTTGTGTCGACCCCCTGAGATTTATGTGTTCACCGGGGTCGGGGTTAGGAACTGCTGCTCTACAGGGCCAGCTTTGACACTTCAGCTGAGAGTACTCGATTACAGTGAAGGACGTTCTTCTCGTAGTGGAGCATTTTTAAATGAGCAATCTTTCCACCGCAGTTCGAGATGAAAAAAGTTCATTTTTTATGTGACGTTTTTGTTTGACTGGTCACTGACTGCACAGCTAGAGCCAAGAGCATTCAGCACTAGCTGTGCACTGCTGTTTAAAGAAAACTCTAAAATATAACAAGACTAACAAGGACATTTAATAAGTGGAATTATTGATAATCTTGCGGAGCTATTTGGGCCCTAAAGTCAAACTTTTAGCAGCAGTCACAGAGGCGGCGTAGCACCGATGACCTTCATAGTACGCCTGCCTGGTCGTCATCCTAACTGCACTGATGGTGTGTATGGAAGTTTTTAGAGTGAAAAACAGACATGCTCCTCGTTCAGCCACATTTGCAGTTTGTGCTCTGATGTTACATTTTTGCACACCATTGGACAGGGTGGGCGGTGTGCCTCGACCGGACTGCACAGAGGATTCTAGAAAAGCCAAAACCAAAACTGTATTCATGGATAGATCACAAATACACTTCAGTTACTGAGATCCATTTAAAGTCCGAGTTCTAGAGTGGTCGAGTTTGCATGTCCGCAGAGGCTTTCAGATGTGCTCGCAGGGCAGGGAAGTGAAACAAACGTAGTGAAGGAAATAATGTGACACTACAGGAAACGCTCTCGTTACAAAAGGTCTGCTGTGATGTTGGGGACTTTGCACTATCTGATGAGGAAATAAATGACTGATTCATCCTTTCCTCTGCTGTCTTCCTGCTCCAGAGAGACTCGTGGGAGCAGTCTGAGCCAGTATCTCAGGTGGAGGCTCTGTGTCAGGACAACCTGGCCTCCGTCAGCGTCCCACCGTCCATGCCCAGCCCCGAACCTCCAGGGAGCCCCTCCCAGTACCGCTCTCCGAGCCGAAGCTCCTCCCTGGGCCCCGTCTCCAGCAGCCAGCCCTACACTCTGCACTCTCTGGAGGATGTCCACTATCACCCTTTAACCTCCACCAGCACTTACCCCACCACACCCTCCTCCTCCTCCTTCCCCTGCCCTCCCTACATGAGCAGCCCCGTCACAGATCTGGTGACCAAGATGGTGACGGAGGAGGCGGCCGACGGCCACGGCAGCCTAACCCCCGGCGCCGAAGCTCATTCCTCCTGGGCTAAGGAAGAGGGGGTGAGCGCCTGGTCGCCCTATGAGATTCGGAGGGCCTACTGACTGAATTCAGAAGATTCAGACGATTTTACAGACACTGATGAACTCAACACTCTGCTGTAAATTCTTGAGGAGGTTTTTCCAAGAAAATTTCAATGTCAATTTGCTAAAAATATTCAAATTTTAAAGTGTCCCTGTTGTGCTCATTCCCTGTACCCTTGCACTTTGTGCTCAGCTCTTCATTTCACCCTCAGTTGGAAACACGCTGTGTTGGCTGCTGTCTCTGTGAGACCCTTCAAAAGCATCTGGGTGTGATGAAAGTGAGACAGTGCTGAAATGCTCTAAACCGCGGAGTCGGAGCTGCTCGATGAACAATGTGGTAAAACCATTTCTTAATTACTCCAAGCATCTGAGCATATCCGACAATATATACATCAAGAAATATGACTGTACCCTCGTATCTGTTAACCAACACATTTATCTGTAAGACAGCAAAGCTTAGCCACATCAACTGCACACTTTGCTGGCACTGAAGGGGAGAGGCTCAGGTGGCTGAGGGGAATGCAAGGCTTCTCATTTGAACTCGCTCCAGGTGTCACATAGATGAGCCACAGAAAAAAGAGTGATGAGGTTCATTTTGAAAACCACGTGAACAGAAAAGCCAGACAGGGGGCACACAGGGGCACTTTAACCAGTTGGTGGCCTCATTCTGCCAAAGGTCCAGTCTGACTGTAGAATAGCACGATTTCTTTTTTTTACCACTATTTCCCGTACGGTGTGGACGTGATCACAAAGCATAACTTAACTTATAAGGCTGGAGTTAAAGAGCGTATACCAAAGCAAGGATAATGGTTTGAGGGCGTATATTCTGAGGATTTTGTTTTTTCATAATGTGTGAACATGCTGCATCTTAATCATTGTACCCTGAAGGTCCCTGTAACTTCAGGCTGTAACTGTTATTAAACTGCAGGCTACTGCCATTTGTACGACCCGGCTAAGTGTGGTGCTTGAATGCAGAAGTTGTCTGGATTTACTGGGAATGAAGCAATTGTGATGCTTCCCTTCTGTTCAGGTTTATTTATATAGCTTCAAAACACACTGACAGTCACCTTAAGACTCTTTATACTGTAAGGTAAATGCCCTACAGTATTCTGGAGAAAGCCCAAACGACCCCCGTGAGCACTTTGGGGAGGAAGGGTATGAGGGAAGGATAAACAGCCTTTTAACAGGAAGAAAGGCTGATGTGAGCAGATGGGCGTGAGGGCAAAGAGAAAAGAAGAACGAGAGCATAGGCAGACTGGGCCAAAGCTTATGGACACAGAAGACTGAAATGTGGGATATAAACAGGGAGACAGTGGCGTCATCGCGGTGCATCACATGAAGTCCTTCGGCAGTTTGAGCCTATAGCAACATAATTAAGCAATGTTTCAGGGTCACCTGATACCTTCGTCAAAATGGAAAGTTTTGATCCTAAAATCCTAAAAGTAGAGAACATGTCAGTCTCCAGCACAGCAGGAAAGGCGTCTGAGAGAGGAAAGCTCTGCCCCCCATTCTGAGTGAGCAGCTCTCAGTCTGAAGGCACTATGAAAATATAGGACTTTTGGATGTGATAGGGCCTCATTATTCAAGGCTTTGCAGGATTTTAAGAAGGATTTTTAAATTCCCGGTACTCTCACTGCAGCACCTGAACCAACTGAAGGCAACTTTCAGAACAACCTGATGTTAATGACTTAGTAGTCCAGCCTAGAAATAATGCATGCATGAACTAGTGTTTTAGCATCTGTCTTTTTACAGATAATAGCAATCCTGCATATTTGTTCAGAGCCCTCGAAGGACATGATCTGAAAGTTCCTCACAGTGTTGCTGGACATCAAGGTAATGCCATCCAGAGTCTAGTTCTAAGATCTTTAGGGCCACAGAAAATAACCTCATTGTTTTTTGGATACAGCACAAGGAAACTGTAGAACTTTGTGTCTCAAAGTCACGGCTGCAGTATGAATAACTGATATGTGTCAACTGGCTTCAGGTAGGTGTTTGTTGAGTGGGGGCATTCCTACTATTCAATGTTATTTCAGGATATAATACTATAAATCTTTTATCATAAGCTTTATAACTGCATTATGGTTTGTTTGTTTTTTAAATATATATAACTATATATTATATAAAAATATGTTTTTATATTTTTAAAATGAAAAATGAAACCTTTTTTGTAACATTAATTATCATTATAATTTAAACACTTTGACTTGTGACTGTAAATACATGTGACAGGGTAGACATCTTATGATGTTAACACATCAGTGAACCATTCTGAAACATGGAGAAAAAAAAGGCTGATGAAAGATGTTTTTGTAGATGATTTCTCTCCAACAATATATACAACTGTAAGTCACATAATTAGAGGACCAATAAGGGGACCTATTTAGCAGGATTTCCATATGAGTAATAGGGAGGATTTATTTGAAAGACTTTAAGCATTAAAAATGTGTTCATGGAAAAACATCCAGTTAGTGTAGAAAATTATGTAAAAGTACGTTTTTCTAACAACATGCCAATACTATTCCACATATAATGTGAATAGTATTGGTCCCAGCACATAACCCTGTGGGGTGAGTAACTTCTGTGCATGAACAAGACTCCCCGTTTACATGCACAATACGGAGTCTGTCAGACAGACATATTCAAACCATTGCAGTGCATGTCCTTTAACACCAACAGTGTAGCCTCTGAACTGGATTATTGATCAGCCAGCTGTTTTCTATCTATTCTTTCAATAATTTCTTAAATAAACAGGAAGTTTGATATTTGGCCTATACTTAGCTAAGACAGCTGGATCAAGTAAAGGCTTTTTAAGTAGTGGTTTAAATACAGCCATCCATATCCTGTGAACAGACACAAAATGATTCAATTTAAAATTGTAATATTAATTAATGGTGAGACTTCTATGAACTGTCTTGTTGGAACTGTGCATAATAGACGTACTGATGACTTTCTATTGAATGCAATTCAGGTTTATTTATATAAACTGCCCAATCACAACAACACAACACAACAGTTTTATATTGTAAAGTAACGACCTTACAGTAATACATAAAAATATTGAAGTTAACTCCAGAAAACTGACTACAGAGAAAGAGTCTAAATGAACATCTGCAGTTAGTGAAGTTGCTATGATATGTCAGTGAAATGACTATGCATACATTTTTCATAGAAAAACAGTTTTTTGTGTATTTTCCAGTTCATGTACAAGGCTAAAAGTCAGGCTTTCAAATAACTGTGTAGGTACGTAGGTAGTGGCTGGTGCCCGGCAGGGGTCTGCACCTGTTCCCGCTTCTCGGAAGAAGGCAGCCGAGCCGGAAGTCTGAGCATGTGCAGCCGGCAAAAACCTACACAGCAAAAACCGGAGGTCACTGTGTCGGCCGGTCCAGCAGCGTCCACGCCCAGAGGCTAGTGCACCATCTGGACTTGCCTCGCTTCCGCCAGAGACCATAGGGAAAATTTATGCTATGTCTTCTAATGATACTGCCTAGGGGAAGCATGTATAGTGTAAACAGAATTGGTCCTAGCACTGAACCCTGTGGAACTTCATAATTAACCTCAGTGTGTGAAGAGGACTCTCCATTTACATGCACAAACTGGAGTCTATTAGATAGATATGATACAAGCCACTGCAGTGCAGTACCTGTAATACCTACAGCATGTTCTAATCGCTCTAATAGGATATTGTGGTTGGCGTATGGTTACATTGTAACCTTTGTTCTCTGAGTGAGAGTCTATCTCCCCGCTCCATTACATATTCCATATGTACGGGGTATGACCCCCACTTGGTTGTGCCATATGGATACTTCTTTAAGACACTCCGGCTAGCCCAGCCACAGCCCACAGCTTACGTATAAAACAGTTGTGCAAACGTGACACCGATGATAGTTTGATCAGACCATGTCTCCAAGTGGCCTGAAGGTGGAGAAATAATCTCTCACTTAGAGAACCAAGGTTACAATATAACCGTATGTTCACTATCATATCGAGACTATCTCTCCACTCCATTACATATTCCATATGTACAGGGTAACTCTGTAAGACACCCCACTAGGAGACAGTGCAACCGAACCCAGAGTGAACGTACCAACTTGTACATATATACACTCCACCCCAGTCATGGCCTCGCCAGATGCAAAGGCCGAGCCGGGGGGCGGAGGCAACAGTCTGCAGATGCAAGACTGGCCCGAGCCGGTCCCACAAGACGCAAGGACCGCGATAGAGCGGCCGCACAAGGACAGCCCAAAAGACGCCAAGCCGACTGCCAGGAAGCATAGCACACCGAGCTACCAATGGGGGTCCCGCAGACAGAGAGTCAGGCAATATGGCAGGGGAGCACAGGCTACTAAGCCACTCGAGCACAGCAGCTAAGCTAACAGACTTGCTAAGGGAGATAGGGGGCTGGGGGGGGGCAGCGTCCAGGGAGGCTGCCGAAACAAGCTCCCACAATGGACACCACTACCACTATCACACACACAGTCACACAGTACCACATGTAAGTACTACCAGTCAACCGCACACGCACAAACAAACAAGTGGAGATCAAACAATCACCGGTGTCACGTTTGCAAAGCCATTTTATCTGTAAGCTGTGGGGCGTGGCCAGGCTATCTGGAGTGTCTTAAAGAAGTATCCACACACCATGACCAAGAGGGGGTCATACCCTGTACATATGGAATATGTAACGGAGTGGAGAGATAGTCTCGATATGATAGGGAACAAACGCGAGTCCACTGTCAGAGGCCATAAGAAGATCATTTGTAACCTTCACTAAAGCTGTTTCTGTGCTGTGCTGAGCTCTGAAACCTGACTGAAACTCT